CTGCCAGCCCAGACCCAGCTCCTGGCCAGGGAAATTCACAGAGCTCTCCCTCCGACTGCAGTTTTGTGGCATCCCCTGCACAGCAGCAGGTGTCTCCCTGCACTGCGCTGTGTGCTGTGTCCTGCCCAGCTCTGACTCCCTCTGTTCTTGGGTGCCATTCTGCTTGGCCTCCTCTCATGTCCCCAACGTGAGCCTGCAGTCCCCCATCACCCCAGAGGCAGCACCAGGTGGTGTTTTTGTGTCGGTCCTACATAAATGATGTCCTCTGCTCCCCCCCCCCAACCTCCCCCCAGCCAGCAGAGGGGTTGGTTTCGGGAGCAGAGTTTGCAGCGGGGCTGCAGGAGCAGAGCAGAATGGTGGTGCAGCCTGCAGGAGGAGAAGGAGGAGGATGGCAGGGCCCAGCCGGCCCCACGTGTCAGCAGGAACGGGGCTGCTCCATGCACTGCTCTGCTGCGTGTCCCCACCTGTCTGTCCCTCCACCGTCCGTCTGTCTCTTCTCTCTGCTCTCAGAAAGAGCTGCATAGAGGCTGCTCTGCACGGGCATGCAGTGACGCCTGCTGCCAGCCTGAGCTCGTGCCCAGTTCACGTGCTGGGCGCTGCCCATCCCTTCCACCCCCCGTCCCCATCCCTGCTCCCCGGGCACCCGCCAGGCACTCATTCTGCCCCCCACCCCCCCTCGCAGCACCAAGATGGGCATCAAGGAGCGCATCCGCCTGGGCTCCCCGCAGCGCCTGGGCAGCCGCGGCCGCCTGCACCTGGCCCCCCCCCTGCACCGCTCCCCCAGCACCGAGGCCGTCCCCGAAGCCCCCAGCCCCAGCAAGGTGCACAAGAGCTGGAGCTTCAACGACCGCACGCGCTTCCGCGCATCGCTGCGGCTCAAACCGCGGCTGCAACCTGAGGGTGAGCGCCGGGGGGGACACAGGGGGCCTTGGGGGGGCTCAGTGTGGGGGCTGAGACCTCTGCTACCCCCCTTGCAGCAGAGTGCCCACCAGAGGACAGCGGCGAGGAGAAGGGCTCCCACTGCGACCTGACCTTCGAGGACATCATGCCAGCAGTGAAGACCCTGATCCGTGCTGTGCGGTGAGCGCGTCCAGCCCCGGGCACTGGGACACCAGAGCCACGGGGGCTGGGTCCCCACCACAACCCCATAGCAACAAACAGAGCCCCGGGTGCTGGCCGTTCTGCATCCAACCCCCTTCCCCCCACCCGCAGGATCCTCAAGTTCCTGGTGGCCAAGAGGAAATTCAAGGAGACCCTGCGGCCCTACGATGTGAAGGACGTCATTGAGCAGTACTCAGCCGGGCACCTGGACATGCTGGGCAGGATCAAGAGCCTGCAGACACGGTGAGATGGCCCCGGGGAGGGAGGGGAGACCCTTGGGTCCTGCACATCCCCAGTTACGTGGGGCACATCCTGCCAGCCCCACGGCCATCAATGGGGCCCCATCCCCGTGACCCCAGTCCATTGGGAGTGATGCGCCGTGTCCCCTCCCTGCAGCGTGGACCAGATTGTGGGCAGGGGGGGCCCCGCTGCTGACAAGAAGATCAGGGAGAAGGGGGAGAAGGCAGCGCTGGATGCAGAGCTGGTGGATGAGCTGAGCATGATGGGCCGCGTGGTCAAGGTGGAGCGGCAGGTATGGAGGGGACGTCCGCGTGTGTCACCGCGTCACCGCGTCACCATGTCACCACGTCACCACGTCACCACCCCATGGCTCATCCCGTGCCCACAGGTGCAGTCCATCGAGCACAAGCTGGACCTGCTGCTCGGCCTCTACTCGCAGTGCCTGCGCAAAGGCTCGGCCAACTCCTTCAGCCTGGCCGCCGTGCCGCTGCCCCGCGAGCCCGACATCACGTCGGATTACCACAGCCCTGTGGAGCACGAGGACGTGTCGGCGTCAGCCCAGACGCTGAGCATCTCCAGGTCGGGCAGCGCCAACATGGACTGAGCGGGGGGATGGGGCCGCAGGGACGGGCTCCGGCAGTGGGGGGACGTGGGGACGTGGGGAGCCCTGGCCCCACTGAGCTGCGTCCCTCTCTGCGTTACTTGAACTCAGCGTCCTCGTGGCTGGGCAGCAGCGGCGCTCTGTGCTGAGCGCTGTGGTGGGGATGGGGGGCAGCGGCAGTTCTGCGGTGGCCGCTCTCTCCAGGGGGGGTTGGGAGCCCCCAGCCCAGGGTGGGTGTCCGCCTCCCCATGGGGGTCCTGCACGTCCCAGAGCCGCACTGGGACCGGCACAGCTATGCAAGGCTCCGGCTCCGGAGCTGAGCCCTTGGGCACAACCCCATGGGGTCTTATCGGGGTTGGGGGGGGTTACCCCCCATCGCCCTCCTCTGCCAGGGTTCCCCCCGCTCACGGGGCTGCGGCTGCACCTCCACAAGTGCAGCAGAACCTTCTGCCCCTGCATGCTCCCAGGGCAGCATCTATCCGTATATGTAAGAGACAGATATGCAATAATGTCTTAATATGCAACACCCCCGGGAACAGCCGCCCGGGGGACCAACGTAGGCAATAAGAACCTCCTGCCAGCACGCGGGGCGGCGTCCTGCTCTGCAGGGGGCTCAGACCCCCCCGGAGGGCGGCCCCGAGGCTGTGGGGCCGGGCAGGAGGAACCAGGATCATCCCTCCCTGCCCCCGCTGCAGGACTGACTCCTTCCCTGCTTGTCCCTGTCCCCTGGGGGTGACTGCGGGTGGGGACGGCGCGGCGGCGGCGCCCTTTGCACGCTGCTTGCACCAGGGCTGCTTTCCAGTCCCCCACCGCAGTAGTGCCAAAATTTGTTGGTACCCCTCGGGGGGGCTCGTGGGACCCCCTTTTGCCTTGGAATCGTGGGGGATCCCAACCCCACTCTGCTGCTGCTCCCAGCAGGGCTGTGCCCTGGGATGCCCCCAGCCCCTCCTTTCCCTCCGTAGTGCATGCGAACAGCATGGGCTGTGCTCGCAGCCCCCCGGGCTGTGCCGTGGGGCCGGGGGTGCCCAGGGGGTGATGCACAGCCGTGGGTACCCGGCCCTGGAATGAGGGTGCATGTGACAGCTTCACCCCCAGCCCCGCTCAGTCCTTAACCCGTAGGGCTCCTCCCTGGGGCTGGCTGGGCCCCTCAGTTCCTCTTTTTCCCCCCCAGCCGCCCGTAGTGACCTCACTTTATTAACTTATTAACTTATTTCTTTCATTAAACTTTGAAGTAGACGCCGCCTGCCCGCCTGGTTTCTGCCCCCGCTCTCCCGAGAGGTGGCACTCCAGCCCCACCGCAGCACCCAGCGCCCATCCCCCGCCCCCCCCCCCCCCCAACCACTGCCCCACCTCGGCCGGCAGAGGGGCTGTGCTTTCCGGGGCGGTGTGGTGTCCCCAAACGGCGCGTCCCCACACGGGCATGGCGTTGCGATAGCCTCAGGAGCGTTCCAGACGAGATGAGGGTGCGAGACCCGTCCTCACAGTGCTGCAGCCCCCCCGGGGGGGGTGTCAGACCCCCTTGGGCACGCGGCCCCCCGCCCGCAGTGTCCCAGCACCGACCCCATTGCCGGAAGGAAGCCGGACTCTCGGCCGCTCCTTCGCCGCATTTCCTGGCTGAGCCTTCGCCAACAGCCGGTCCTGCAACCGCCACGCAGCGATGGAGCGACCCCTGCAGCCCCTCTGCCGCTCCTCCCGCCCCCCAGAGCAGCCGGGCCGCGTCGGGACGGAGCCTTTGGGTGGCCTCGCTGAGCGCTCGGGGTGCGGGGTGCAACCCGGGGAACCCCCACCTGCTGGCGGTGCAGCTCTGGCTGCGGTACCTCCGGGGCTGCTTTGAAGGGAGAGCCAGGTCGGGGCGAGCAGGAAAACCCCGTTCTGCTCTGCTTTGCTCCCGGCTGGCAGCAGAGCTTCTCGGAAGGGGGGGGGGAGGGAGGTGGTCCGCGGTCACTCCTTGTGCCCGCAGTGGGGTCCGTGCATCACTGAGGGGGGCTCCGGCCATGCAAAAGGCTGAGCCCCCGCGTGCCCCCATTGCTCCGGGTCTGAGCTCTGCGCAGCGCTCCGGGTCGTGGCTGCAGCCTCACCCACGCGGGGCAAAGAGCACAAGTGTGCGATGCCCCCTGCAGTCGCGTGTGGCACAGACGGGGACGAGGCTGTGGCCCAGCGAATGTGTCCGTGCGTCCTGCCGGCCGCCAAGGGCACCTGCGGGAGGAGCGTGGGGCTGCGGGTGCTGCTGCCCGTATTGCGGGGGGGGGGGGGGAAAGGGGGGGGAAAGGCAGGACAATACAGAGCAGAAGAGGCGATGTCTCGCGTCCCTCTCGCGGTGGCTTTGCTCTGTCCCCGGAGGGTCTCGGAGAATTCGTGACTCACTCCGAATTCCTGTCCGTGTGCCTGCAGACAGCCGGGCTCCGGCCCAGTTCCTTCCTGAAGCTCTCGGCGGTCCAAGGCCGCGTGCTCAGGAAAAAGCTCTTGGAGGAGCACCGGGCAGCGCTGCCTGCGGAGGTGGGGGGGGCCGGGGAGAGGGGTGCTCTTGTAGGACCCCCGGGGGTCGCGCTGTCTCCGTCGGACACCGGGAGCTCCTTCGGGGAATCCCTCGGCAGCGCCGGTGCCGCTCCTCGGGGCCAAACCTCCCCGGGAGGAACAGAGTGCAGCAGGTGGGGGGGCCAGGGGCTGCCTGTATTCACCCCCAGCGTGCGCCCCAGCGGCGGGACAGCCGCGTTCCGCCCCGGCAGACGCAGTGCCGGGCACACGGACGCACACACGGCCCCCTCCACACGCTGGCGGCTCGGGGGACCCCCACCCTGCGACAGACGGGTCGGGGTGCGCAGAGCTTTTATAGCGCGCTCTCTTTGGCCCCAGCATTCCGAGGGTCTCCCCCTCCACACCCCCGGCAGAACTCGGGACCCCGGCAGCAACAGGAGAAGGGGCTCTGCGGGCGGCGGCATCGAACTCATTCGGCGCGGGGTGGGGCAGCGCGGCCCGGCCTCTACCCGGGATACCCCCGGCACCTCCCCGTGCCCCCTCCCCCCCCCTGGGCGCGGCTATAAGGGAGCGGCGGGGCCGGAGGAGGCGCTCGGAAGCGGCTGCGGCGGGGAGCGGTGCACGGCGGGGCGGCAGGTATGGGGCGGGCGCGGGTGTGCCGCTTCGGTGCCATTCGGGGTCACCTTGAGCCCCTCAGGAGTTCTCCTAGGGTCCCCCAGGGGGTTTTCTCGGGTTCCTGGGGCCGCGTTCCTCTCCTTTTCTCTGACAGCCGTGGGCTGAGGTTGGGGAACTCATCTCAGCGATGGTACCGCCGAGCTCCCCTCAGGCAGCCTTTACGGTCCGGTTCCCCCATGGGGCGCAGCCCGTGCTCGGCCTGGGCGTCCCACGCAGCCCCACCGCTTTCAGGGCTCCGCCTGAAAGCTTTGCTTCGGGAAGGGGGGCTGAGCTGAGCGTGGACGCGGGGCTGTGAGGCCGTATGGGGGGGAGGAGTGAGGGAAGCCGGGCAGGGAGGGGGGGTCACAGAGCGGCTGAGGATCTCCGCTCCGGAGCTGCGTGGGCGCTCCGTTAAGGAGTTGGGCGGGAGATGAGGAATGCGAAGGATTTGCGCGTCACCTGGCTCCGAGGTCCCAGCCCCTCCGGCGGCTCAGAGCCCGGCACGAGGCGACGCCGGGGGCTCGGGGTCCCCACGCACACCGCCCCATCCCGTACAGCGGCTCCGGGGACATGGCCAGCACCGCGCTCGTGCCCTGGGCGCTGCTCTGGCTGCTGGCGGCGCTGGGTTCGGCCGCCCGGACGCGGACGCGCCGGGAGTTGTCGCCGGGTTTGTACGAGCACGGGGTGTTCGATGCCGGCGGCTCCTACTGCCAACGCGGGGATGTCTGCTGCCGCGGGCGCGACGACGGCTGCACCGTGCCCTACCTCGACACCATCTGCTACTGCGACCTCTTCTGCAACCGCACCGTCTCCGATTGCTGCCCCGACTTCTGGGAGTACTGCCTGGGCATCCCGGCCCCGTTCCCTAAAGCTGCAGGTGAGGCGGAACCCCCCGGAGCGGTGCGCGGCTGCGGGATGCGATGCGCGAGTCCGGACGGCGGCAGAACTCGTGGGACCCGCGGAGCCGCTCTGTGGGGCAGAACGGGGCCGGGTGCCGCCCCGGTCGTGTCTGGGGCACGGCGCGCCGTCCCCGACTTCACCCCGTGGGCAGCGGGGGAGGGATGGGAGAGAGGGGGGGGAACCGGGGCGGCCCCCTCGTGCAGCACAAGGCTCTCTCAGAATCCCCGCAGAGCAGAGCCAGCTCCGGCCATCAGTGGCCCCTTTATCCCGTCCCAGCCTGCAGTTAACCCTCCTCTTGCCCACCTCTCTCCCTCCCAGGCTGCGTTCGCTCCGGTCGCGCTTATCCCAGCGGGGCCACGTACCGGGACAACTGCAACCTGTGGTGAGTGCCCCCGTGCTGCGCCGGCCCCGCAGCGTGGCACCCTGACCCCGAACCCAGCCGTGGTGGGAGCGGGGCCGCGCCGGATGGCGGGGGCTGATGCAAGTTCCTTTGCTGTGGCATATTTGGGGTTTCTGTGCCCGCACCCAGCTTGCCCCGGCTTGATGGGCTGAGCGTGCCCCGTCCTGCTCCAGGTGGGGATCCGGCCCCACGCAGCTCAGCGCTGCACCGGGGTTGGCTCCGACACGGCACTGCGGGCGTGCTGGGATGGGGAGCACGGAACCTGCAGCTGAGGAGCACTGAGCTGCACTGAGATGAGGGCAAATCCAATGCTCCATATGGAGCTGCGCATCAGCGTGCGTGGATGCAACCAGTGTGTGCTCCTGCAAGCCCAAGCAGCCTCGTGCAGCCCTGCAGGATGAGCACAGCCCTCCCTGACCCACCGCTGCCCCCCTGGGCACAAAGGAGTTGGGGGAACTGAGGCCCCTCCGTGCTCAAAGGAGCTTTTTCTGTGCTGGGAAAGCATCCCTGCTGCGCCCCAGATCTTCTTCCCCTGCACTTGGAATGCAGAGAGCAATTCCTGCTGTGCTTCACCCCAACTTGGGGCTGTTGTATGGGAGGAAAATGTAAAGCATGGGAGATGCAGGAGAGTTGTGGGGAGATGCTGTGGGTGCGCAGCTTGGCTTCACCCCAGATACGCCCCCAACAGCTGGGCTGCTCAGTGCTTGTGCCCAAGGAGTTAACAGCAAGCAGCTGGGTCACCAGAGCTGCGGCCAAGGAGGGCAGCGAGGGGTGAAGGGCTCGGGAAGCGTCTTACAGGGTTTTTCCATTGCCTCACAGTGCCTGGGGAGAGCAGATATCGGGGGATTCACACTGCCTGCTCCAAACGGAGCCTTGGGATTTGCCCTGTGTGGGGATGTGGGGCTGAAGGCGATGGCTGGGATGTGGGATGGCTCCTGGGAGGGGCTGATGGTGGGAATTGGGGTCTGGGCGGTGCTCTGACCCCAACGGGGTGGTTGGGATGGGGATGGGGAGCGGTGAGCGGGGCTGCTCTGTTCCCATAAAAGGGAACGGCGTGCCGGCAGCTCGCACTGCGGGCAGCGGGGCCGGATGCCGAGCATTGCTGGGAATGTGGGGGGAGCACGGCTGGAGGCTCCCCATGGGGACACCCGTCCCCCCCCCACCCGGGTCCCCCATGGGTTGTGCAGTGCTCCCTGCTCAGAGCAGCGCAGCTCCTCCCTGGGCTCATTTCCAAACCCTGCTGCAGCCCTGGTGGGTTTTCGGCTCGTTTCTGTCCTTGGGGACCAGGCTGGTGTTGGGGCTCCCAATTCCTGGGGTTGCTGCTCCCCACCTGCTGACCATTTCCTCCCCACAGCACCTGCGGCCCTGCAGGGCAGTGGCAGTGTGAGGAGCACGCCTGCCTCGTGGATGGGGACCTCATCGACGCCGTCAACAGGGGAAATTACGGGTAAGGGCTGTAAGCGACTGAAGGGATGCAGGGGTGCTTCACCCCTCTGTGCTCTGTGGATGTGCCGACCCCATTCCGTGCTCTGTGCAGGTGGAGAGCAGCCAACTACAGCCAGTTTTGGGGCATGACGCTGGAGGACGGGATGCGCTACCGCCTGGGCACCTTCCGGCCGCCCCCCACCGTCATGAACATGAATGAGATGCACGTGAGTGGGACCCCACAGATCTTACCTTGTAACCCCCGGCCCCAAAGCTGCGAGCTGCCCCGCTTTTTGGAGACAGCAGCTCAGCACATTCCCCCTCACAATCCCTGCGTTGCCAGTGTTGTTTTTGCCCCTTCCCTCCTTGCTGGGTTCCCATCGGAAAGCCGGCCCCGTAGCTGCTGAGTCGGCACAGCCGTGTGACGGGATGCCCTCGGGCTGCAGCCAGAGCCGGCCCCATGGGGCACCTTCTGCTGACCCCATAGCGGGCTCCATCAGTGGAACCCTGTGGCTCTGTCCCTTGTCATGCCCAGAATTTGAAGTCCTCCTGCGCTGGGTGGCCCCAAAGGATGCTCCGTGGGGACAGGATGAGCCCAGCGCACGGCTCACACCCATTGCAGGGCCTTGACTTGCGAGGTTTAATTTTAGCAGCATTTCCTGCACTGGGTGCTGTGACCTCCCCAGAAGGGCTGCTCTGCGCGTGGCCTCCAGGCGGAAATGCCGGGCGTCACTCGGAGCCGGGAGCAGGGATACAATGAGGGCCCCCTGTTGGCACCCGTGGCCGGATGCTGAGCACTGGAGGTGCTGTTGCTGAGCCTGAATTTGGCAGAGGTTGAGAGAGATGGCTCCTCAGGGCGGCACCCACATCCTGGCTGTGGTGTCTGTGGTGGGGCTGGGGTGGCGCTAGGGATGGCAGCTCTGGGGGTGCCTTGGAGCGGGGGTCCCCACACCGTGAGGCCGTGCCCCTGCAGATGGCCATGGACTCCAACGAGGTGCTGCCCCGCCACTTTGATGCGGCCACCAAATGGCCCGGGATGATCCATGAGCCCCTGGACCAGGGCAACTGCGCCGGCTCCTGGGCCTTCTCCACGGCAGGTGAGATGCAATGGGTTTGGGGATGGGGGCTCGTGGGGCAGTGGGATGGGACCCCCGGGGCCGCCTCCATCCCTGACCGCCGTGCTCGTCCCCAGCCGTCGCCTCCGACCGCATCTCCATCCATTCCATGGGCCACATGACGCCCTCCCTGTCGCCCCAAAACCTCCTGTCCTGTGACACACGCAACCAGCGGGGCTGCAGCGGGGGGCGGCTGGATGGAGCCTGGTGGTACCTGCGCAGGAGGGGGTGAGCAAGGATGGGGGGGATGGCGATGGTGGCAGGATGGCAGCGGCAGTTGGTCCAGGGGTGGGTTGGGATGGTGGTGATGATGATGGTGAAGGCGGCGGCGGTGGGAAGGCAAAGGGCTGGGAGTGGAGATGGGGATAGCAACAGGGATGGGAATGGGGTGGCAGTGGTTGTGGGAAGGGGATGGGAAGGTGAAGGAATGGGTGTAACCTGGGGATAGCGATGGCTATGGGGTGGCAGGGGGATGCTGATGGAGTTGGGCAAGGGGACAGGAATGAGGACAGCAACGAGGACAGGGACGTGTCCAGGTTTTCCATCTCCTCCTCTCATCCCCATCCCTCGCACAGGGTGGTGACAGACGAGTGCTACCCCTTCACCAGTCAGGAGAGCCAGCCTGCTGCACAGCCCTGCATGATGCACAGCCGCTCCACGGGCCGGGGCAAGAGGCAGGCCACAGCGCGCTGCCCCAACCCCCAGAGCCACGGCAATGAGATCTACCAGTCCACCCCTGCCTACCGCCTGGCCCCCAGTGTGAGCAGCTGTGGGGCTGGGGGTGGTTCTGCCTGCAAAAGCCAAGCTGGGGATCAAAGCGGGGCAGAGAGGGAGGGGAGGGATGCGATGCCGGGGTTGGATGTGGAGCTGCCTCTGCAGGTGGCAGAAGAGGGGTGGTGTCACCGTGCTGGGTGTCCATGGGGTGCTGTGGGTCAGAAGGTGGGGACCCCAGCCCTTGGTATCGGCTGTTTCTGTGCTTGCAGGAGAAGGAAATCATGAAGGAGCTGATGGAGAACGGCCCTGTGCAAGGTAGGGAGCTGGGGGGGGGGGGGCACTGCCCTGCAGAAATGGGATCTGTGCCCTGGGGTGCACTGAGCTGAGAGGGGACTGGGGGGGGACAGCTGCTGCTGGAACAACTCAGGAGCTGCCCCAACCCCGCTGCTGCTTAATGCTTAATGCAGCCCCAGGGAGCTGCCCGCTGGCACCTGTTGCTCATTAACTTCTCAGAGTTAATCTCTGTCTCGGCAGTTGGTTTTATTTGATTTTTATTTTCTTAATCCTCCTCCCCCGCGCAGCTGAGCCTTGTCCCATGTCCCCAGCGCGGCCCCGTGTCCTCTGTGCTCGCGCCCTCCGCTCTGGGGGACGCAGAGCTGAGCACCCAACCCCTGTCCTCAACCCTACAGCCATCCTGGAGGTGCACGAGGATTTTTTCCTGTACAAGAGTGGGATCTATCGGCACACACCAGTGGCTGAGGGGAAGGGGCCGAAGCACCAGCAGCATGGCACGCACTCAGTGAAAATCACAGGGTAGGTCTGGGGGGGTGCAGGGCATCACAGTGGCTGGAGAAATGCTTCCTTAGGGGGGAGGAAAGGCGTCCACCTTCCTCTGGGCAGGGAGAGGAAGCGAGGAGGGAAGGAGGCTGCTGGGCTGCACTGGGGCTGCTGCCACAACTGGTGGGGAGCATTCTGTGCTCAGCAATGGGGCTGGGATGGAGGCACAGACCTTTGTGCCGGGGTCCCAGAGGGGCTCCTGGCCCTGGGGGAAGATGCTGGAGCTGGGAGTTGGTTTCCCCAGTGGGCAGGGAGAAGGTGTGTTTCAAGAGCCCCCTGGTGCATCCCCGCGGGGGGCCCGCAGTCCCTCCTCACTGCCCTCTTGCTGCAGGTGGGGTGAGGAGCAGCTGCCCGACGGCCAGATCCAAAAATACTGGGTGAGTACCGGTGTGATGAGCGCAGCCGGGCTCAGCCCCGAGCTTGGAGGCTGCAGCCCGGGGAAGATCTGAACACCAGATTTGGTGCCGGGGAGGGGAACGGTCGCTCCTGTGCTCAGCGTCCCCCGTTGCAGACCGCGGCCAACTCGTGGGGCAGAGCGTGGGGCGAGGACGGGCATTTCCGCATCGCCCGCGGCGTCAACGAGTGTGAGGTGGAGAGCTTCGTGGTGGGCGTGTGGGGCCGCGTCAGCGTGGAGGACATGGCCCATAAGTGAGCGCAGACCCTGCGGAGCTTTCCTTGTCCCTGCCCTGCCCTGCAGCCCCCCCCGGCCCCAGCAGGGACACCCCGGGTCGGACCCCTCGTGCCGCCGGGCGCTGACGCAGCGGCCGGGGTGCATTGGGCCGTGCACGGGGTGTGGGGCCGGGGCGGGGGGCATCGCATTGCCTGTGGGACGGAGGATTTACTCACTAATCCAGCCCGGGCTCAGCCGGCTTTGTTGGCAGTCGGGGGCTCTTCAAAAGCAGCCACCCCTGCCCGCGGTGTCTGAGCCCCCCCCGGTCGCGTACGTAGGGCGGGAGGTGCTGTAGGATCCCCCAGGCAAAGCACGGCTCCTACAGCCCTCCGTCTGCCCCTATGGAGATGCGGGGGGTAAAATGCCGCGGCACCGGGAGAGGGGAGGACGGGGGAGGCTCCATCTGAGTCCCCAAGGAGGAGGAGCCCAGGGCTGGATGCTACCTGATAAGGATGGCGTCCCTGCAGCTCCCTCCCCCCCTCCCCATGGTGCTAAGGCCCCGGTGCAGGGAAACGGCCGCTGCAACCAGCCCTGGGGTCTCCAGGCCCCCCCCTGTGTCCCCACCCCTGCCAAAGGAGGGACCCGAGCTGCCGCACAGCCTCACCTAACCTTCAACCCCCCCCAGGCTGTACTTTTAAGTCTCTTTTTTTTGGTATTTATTTTGCTTTTTATTATTTGTAAATAAAACTCCTCGAAGTCTCCTCCTGCCCCTGCAGTGCAGCTCCTTCCCCCACCCCGGCTGGGGACGCGTGGCCCCGCTGCCCCAAGAGCCCCATGGTTACGGGCTGAGCTCCACCCCCATCCCGGGGTCAGCACCTGGAAGGGCTGCGTGGGGCTGATAAGGACCACATTGTCTGCTTTCCTGTTTTGTCAGCACAGTGACCTCAGCCACGGGCCGGAGGGGCTGTGGGCAGGCGCAGACGTACGGCGTCCCTGTGCTGGGAACAGCGGGCGTGAGGCTTTGTGGGAGGGTTTGAGGTTTGAGGAGGGCACCAGCAGCTTTAGGGGGAGGTGGGGGCTCCCTCCAGGCTGGTACCCTTGTGCCGTGCTCAGCTCTGTACCCACAGGATCACAGGGGGTGGAAGGGAGCCCTGCAGCTCAGCTGCTCCGTCCCCCTGCTGAGGCAGGTTCACCTCCATCACTATGAACAGCTTTGGCCCTTTAAAACTATTTTTAAAACAATTTTTTAAGTGATCATTTGCAGCGTGGAAACGTGGCGGTCTGGGATCTTTAGCACAGCTTGCACAACTGATCTGGAAATCAAACCTTTCTTTTTCGTCTTTCGAAGTGCCGTTTCAGCCCTGCTCCCAGCCGTCGGGTTCCCCTTCATTTCTGCACGTCCACCCCGTGCCCACATCCCTCCCTGCGCCCACACCCAGCTGATATCCACACCTCCACTCTCACCTTTCCCCCTGCCCAGCTCAGGGGGGCGCTGGGATGCTGCACCCCTCCTGCTCAGCACCCAAACGCGGCACCCATGCGGCTGCACCTCGCCCTGAGCTCCCGGGGATCACAGCAGGCCCTCAGCGTCGCTTTGGCTCCTCGGCTGAACGCTTTGCATCCGCATTTTCTCTCTTTCACTGTTTCCCTTTCCCTCCTCGTGTCTCCGAGCGCTGGCTGGGCCCCAACACGGAGTGCGGCGCCACCTGGTGGCTGCAGCCCGCCCTGCATCCAACGCCTGCAGCGCCGTACGTAAACACACAGAGCTCCATGTAAACATCGGCCCGACGCACAGCGATATTTACACATATATGCGGATACATCGATGTGCGGGGACGGAGGGGCGCACGCTCTCACACACACCCTGCTGTGCGCCTGCTGCCAGCTGGCCCGAGCCGCAGCCTTGTCTGAAAAGCCACAAAAGTCAGCTCCAAAAATAGAGCAGGAACGGCTTTACTCACCAGAATACAACTCCAAATATTTTGGGAATGGTTACTGGCGCTCAGAAAGTCCCACCTGGGGCCGAAGTTGAGAAAAATAAGCTTTGTTATTTCTCCTAAAAGCACCAGATAATGTTTTAACCCTTTCATACAAAATCCTCTGTCCCCACAGAAAGAAACGCAGCCGTCACAAAACATTCAGTGCACAATTAAAGGCCAAAGAATTCAAAGAATAACTACACAAACATCATTTTGGAGGCACAGGGGAGAAAAAAAACCCAAACCTTTTCAGTGACGATTTGCACTTTTGTGGCCGTATCTCAGATTTATGACAGCATTTCTTCCCTGAGCCGTGCAGCCATCGCCCCACAGACCAGCCAGGAAATGGTGCCAGGGGTCTTTTATTAGAGCTACAAAAATTAGCTGTAAACCGTCTTTCCAAGCTTGGCTTCCACAGGCAGAAAGAAATCAGTACAGACATTGGCAATGGGGGACCTAATCCTGCCTGCCAACAGCACGAGGCAGCCCCGGGTTTTGCTATGATTCTGAGGCTGGCAGAAGATCCAGGCGCTCCCAGAGGCACGGCGCAGAATCTCAGCATGGCACAGACACCCCCAGTTTGGTTGTCACACTGTGGCACAGCCCCGCAGCACAGAGGCACCCGCCGCCATCCAGCAGGGATGAGGAATGGGAGCAGGGAGCTGCCAGCAGGGCTCGGGGCCCTGTGCTCCTTCCTGCAGCACGGGGGGCACAGCGAGGGGCAGGACGGCCACCACCCCCCTTGGCCTCGGGCCTCACAACATGCGTGTCATGACCATGGTGAGGAAGTCCTCGTAGCCCAGCCGCACGTTGCCCGCCATCCCCGTGTCCTTCTCACGGAAGGCCTCCGTTAGGCTCTGCAGCTGCATGCAGATGTGAATGAAGCGGTCGAGCTGGATGGTGGGGTTGGAGGACCTCTGGGCGTAACGGGACAGCAGCAGCTGGCTGAACTGGGGGCTCAGGTTGTAGCCCATCTGGGAGAACGCTGGGAGTGAGAAACGCACAGATTAAAACCCTCCGAGAAGGGAAACAGCGCCCTCCCAAAGCGTGTTCCTGAAGGGCTTCTGAGTGCAGGCAGGGTCCTCGAGAGAGAGGAACCAAATCCAGGCAGGAATTCCAGACATTCTTCCCCTCCATCTGAGCACACACCCAAGAGCTCCTCCCAGAACGCAGGGCTTAGTCATGTGCCATCAGGAAGGGCAACAAAGAAGGGATTTCCCTAAGGAAGTTCACACTGTGGCCGGTTCAGCCTGATGCAGGGGAAACCGGGAAGCTCAGAGAGAACCAACAGCAGGAATGGGACTGGGAAGGGGAGGGAGGTCAGTGGACTGGCTATTAGGAAGAGAATCTCCTCTGAAAGAGTGATCAAGCATTGGCAAAGGCTGCCGGGAAGCAGTGGAGTCACCCTCCATAGGTGTGTTGACAAAACGTGGACATGTGGCACTCAGGGATGTGGTTTAGTGGTGTGGTGATGAGCTGGCAGCTGAACCAGATGACCTCAGAGACCTTTTCCAACCTTAACGATTCTATGCTGGGCTACAAATTAGCACCAAGCAGGCAGTGCTCCCTGGGGAACTCGAGTGTGGTGCCTCAGCCCCTCACCCACCTTGCTGGAGCTCACTGAAGCTGATGGAGCCCGACTGGTCCCTGTCGTACTGCTGGAAGAGGTTTTTCCACTGCTGGATGAAGCGCAGCAGGGCTGAGAAGCCGTACACATCCATGCGTCCCGACCTGCTCCTATCAAACATGTCTGGCAGGAAGGCAGAGAAGCACACACGGGGCAGTGAGGAGAAAGCACCGACGCTCCTGGGGAGCCCAGGACCGCGCTTTGGCTCCAGCGCTCCCCCCGGTGCGCCCACATGGAACGGCCCGGGGAGGTGGGGGGGGGAGGGGAGCGGCCCCCACTCACTGATCATCAGCAGGCAGGTCTCGTCGTTGAACGCCGACCAGTTGGAGTTGAGCAGCGCCTGTTTCAGCTCCTTCACCGAGATGTAACCGCTGCGGTCAGCGTCCACCGCCTGGAACCAGGCGAAGGCCTCGGGATCCACGCCCTGCGGAGCGCCGCCTGCGGAAAAACGGCACCGGCGGCTCCGGCTCCGGCCCAGCGCGCGGCCTCCTCCCCCTCAGCACCGCTCCCCGCTCACCTCCAGGAGCGGCTCCTCCGTAGGGTCCCGCCGGGGGCGCTCCGTAGGGCTGCCCGGGGGCTGCGCCGCCGCCGTAGGGGCCTCCGGAGTAGGGCCCGGCCTGGCCCGCGCCGGGGTAGCCCTGCGGATTGGAGCAGAGCTCGGTCGGGGGGGGCAGCGCCGGGCCAACCGGCCTCGATCCTCCCCAGCCGGGCCTCGGAGCCCCGCGCAGCACCGCACCGCACCTGCCCCGGAAACCCCGCCATGACTCCGCTTCCGGCAACGCTTCCGCCCCCGCTCGCTCCTCTTCCGTTCGTCTCGGGCGTCTCCCACTCCTATTGGTCGAGCCCCGCGGATGAGCCCGGAAATCCCGCCTCCCCAGGTGATGTGGGTCACGTGACGGAGAGGCTTAAAGCGGCGATGTTGGGTGGAGAAGAGTGGGGCTCACAGGGTTGGGATCCCGCAGGAGCGCGGACGGAAACCTCCGGGCAGCTTCCAGGGCCACCAGTAGTGCAGGATTCCCCCCGCATCAGGCCCAGAACCACCATCAACATTATATCCCTGTCACCATTACCGTCATCACCCCCACCACAGCCATCACCATCTCCACCATCATTGCCATCAGCCACATCACCATCATCATCACCACTGGAGTTGGACTTAACGGGTTGTTATGGGACCAATCGGTTCTTATGGTGGCTCTTATGGGACCAATGGAGGATATTCTGTGATCTCTATCATCAATATCACACTGTGCTCATCACCATCATCACCATCATCATCATCACTACCATCACCATCATCAAAGGCAGGAGCAGGGCGCTGGCCTCAGCTCCATGCACAGGGCTGGGGACAGGGACAGGGATGGGGACAGGATGATCAGACGAGACACCACACAAGAGGAGTCAAGGTGTGGGGCAGCAGCACGGCTGTATTTCGGCTGGGCAGGATCCACCTGCCCTACAACAACCACCCACCCGCGGAGCCGGACAACACCCACAGCCCCGGGACCGGCGCAGCCCCCTGGAAAACGGGGGCAAGAATAAGAGCAGCAGTGGGGAGCGGTGGGGCCGGCTCAGCCGAAAGGACCCTTGGCATTCTTGGGCTGGAAGAGTGGCTGCTCCATGGGCAGAGCGCCCATGCACTCAGCAGGGCTGCAGTGCCCCGTTTTGCCCGGCGGCCCCGTGGCACCTGGGGGACCGGGGATGCCAGGGATGCCCTGCTGCCCCACGGGGCCTGGAGGGCCCATCTTCCCATAGCCTGGTGGCCCTTGGGGACCTGGAAGGCAAAGAGAGCGATGGAGGAAGGTGGCACCGAGCTGACGGCATCATCAGGAACACGGAGAGGGAAGGGGAAGTCACCTGGGGGTCCTGGTGGGCCACTGTCCCCCATCAGCCCCATGCCCTTCTCCCCTTTCTCTCCTTTGGCACCCGGCTCCCCTGGAGGAGAGATGTGAACGGTCAGACCCCCATCGCAGCAGACACCCCAGCGCTTGGGGACACGGGGGGCAGCACCTACCCCGCATGCCTGGCACACCCTGCCGCCCCTCTCTGCCAATCTGCCCTGGCATCCCTGGGGATCCTGGGGGTCCCGGCCGGCCAGGCAGCCCATCCTTGCCCGGGGGACCTGGTCTGCCTGGGGCTGCCACCATCTCCACCG